TAAAAACACTGCTCATTTCTTCTATTTTTGTCCAGTACATTTCTGCTTTCAGTCAGTCTGGTGAGGACTTTGTCTGGTTGCTAGCCTGCTGACAGACAGCTGTTCTGACAGAGGTGCTGCACAGAGGTCAGTGTCAGCATGAACTGAACATACAGGTCTAATGTGAAGTCCCAGTTTGACTTGGCCCACTAAGTATTAATTAAAGTTGTAGACTACTAATAACTTTAGCCCAAAAATTAGCTGGCAGTAGACAGGTGAGTGAAATAGCTGAGCTATGGTAGGTAGGGTAGGTAGGTATTTTATTGATCCCACAGTGGGGAAATTTCAATAAAGAACAACCAACATAACACCACAAGAACAGAACTTCATAGAAACACGGGAAAGAACACAACGAGGACACAGCTGCTGTAACTTGCTGCCACTCCGCGCGGCGCATGCGTACGTAAGTACATAGTAACAAAGAACACTTAGTCTTAAAATAAAAAGTTACATAAAGGCAGCAAAGCATTAGGACCGATACACACAAGGATTATAAAAGTAGCGTCATCAGAACGTTACATTTTACACAGCACAAATAAGCAAATCAAAGGCACCTAAAAACAGGACAGAGCAGCACTGGAGAGAATCACAAACAGAAGTAGAGGCTAAACAACCAGGAAATCAAGAACAATCGAATATTACTCACACAACTGATCCCACAATGGGGGAAAGAAACCTGTGTTTCAGCCATAAGGATCTCTGAGCAACTACTCAAAAATACCTAAAGCAGGGCAATGTACAGTATTTGAGAGAGATCAGGAACAAGATATTACAACATATGAGCCTATTTACAATGCATTTCACCCCCAGGAGCTGAAATATTGCACCACAGTAGATTATTGCATAGTCCCTCATAATTTCACCTAGCTTATGCTGCAGTGATGTGTTGTACAGTCTGATTGCTGTGGGGAGGGATGACTTGCAGTAACATACATGCATGGTCACATAAAACTGCCAAAGGGAAAGAAATTCTTATCAGATGTGGTCTGGGTCTTGCAGCTGAGAGTGTTGAAGCCCTTTTTTTTCCCCTTTTTCTCAGCAAACTGGTATGCCAGTGTTCAAATGCCATCTGTCCTGAGGGTGAAATCCATGTTTTCTCAGGGTTGCAGTCATCTTCCCCAGTTTTGCTTCATCCTCCACATGAATGAATGGCTTTGTTCGAGTTGTTTGTGTGTGTGAGTGGTTGTTTGTCTGCGTGTTAGCCCTGCGATGGACTGGCGACCTGTCCAGGGTGTACCCCGCCTCTCACCTGCAGCTGGCTGGGATTGGCTCCAGCCCCCCATGACCCTGTTTGGGACTAAGCGGTATAGAAAATGGATGGATGGATGTTCCAGTTGTATGGTGGTAGTCACCATTGCCTTTCATCCTGCGCTGCAGAGTGTCTTTAGAAATATTCTTATACTCTTCTATGGCTCCTCTCATCCTGTCCTGCCTCCATTGAGTCATAATCCTTCCCCAGTTGTTTACCTGCTTCTCTCTGTGTGTCTGGTATTTTCTCTGTCTTACATCTTTCCTTTGCCAATGTGATCTGAAATATATTCCACTAAACTGATCAATAATAGGCTATGCATATAATTAAGTGAAAGGATTTCATTACATTTAAATGAATATTTGAGTATTTGTGTTTTTGAAATGCACTGCAAGCATTTATCCCTGACATTTTCCCTGACTTTAAAAGGGTACACATACAACCACAATAAACAAACCCTTATACCATTTTGAGTTGCAGGCTCCCACAATCTCTGAATATGATCTACCCTTAACCTTAAATATCTAAAATAATGCATTAAAATGAACCCCTTATTTTTTTTTTTTTACTTGAGTGAAGCAGTTTTAGAACTGCCCCACTTTAGGACACATGGTTCCTACATATATATATATATATGGGGAAAAATTTTTTGAACCGCAGCTGATTTTGTAT